CTTTCACATTATATTTCTGCCGCCATTTGCTACAAACTAATCGCATCAGTTGTTCCTGCTGCAACGGACTTTTGCACTTCCGTAAAATCCAGTGCTTTGTTAATGTGAACACATTTGGAATTGTTTTGGTTCTCGTCACCAGATTCCGACGAGTCGTCCACATTATTGGAGTCTAGATACATTGTCTTCTCTTGATTCTTTAAGTACTCTACAACATCTAACAATTTCTTTTTACTTGAAGCATTAACATAATCAAAACATTCATAGCACCACACATTCCAAGTGGTTGTATCGACGCACAGAGCGTGACTTTCAGAGTGAGGAGTCTCGTAATGTTTTAAGGCATGCTTATTCTTGAACCTTCCGCAGGCTTGATTACCACACTTTAAGCACATCCAAAGATGAAAATCGAAATCCGATTCTGACAATACTGAGATTTCTGCCGGCGATATGCTACACATCTCGCAATCGGACAAGAGCCCCGTTTTCGTAACGGACTTTCGCACTTTCGTAAAGTCGAGTGCTTTGTTAATGTGGACACATTCGGAATTGTTTTGTTTCTCGTCACCAGATTCCGACGAGTCGTCCACATTATTGTGGCCCTCTGTTATTTTTCTTGTTCATTTTTAGTTGACTTTTTTATGTTAATAATGCAGATTAATGGACCTTGTGTCACACGTTTCGGTTACCCTCAATACTAATAATACACTCACAGTAAATTACCTAAATTTGTTACTTTTAAGGAGATAATAAACAGTAAAATTTACTAAATTATTTAACGTAATAAAAAGAACAAAAGGAGGAGTAAATGAAAAATGAAAATCACTTTCAATTTATCAACCATATTGACAGTCACGGGACACCAATGACAAATTGAAAGTGATGGAAGCTGATGTTTAATCAATGACCATAGACAAATGACATTAACGACAACTCGCTTGTAGTTAATTTCTTCTTCCTTCAATATATTTTTTAATTTTGGCACCGCCATCAGTACCACAGATACTACTAATAATTCTAAAAAATGAAGAAATTTATACTTTAGCCTCACATTTCCAGGTCCAAGTCAAGTTTTGATATGGTGAGCCATGTTTTGGAGTGGTATTTTTGTTTGGATTTTGCTTGGAAAAGTAATGTAATTGTATTTTTTGTTCTTAAACAATTCCTAAACAAATATGGATCCAGTTGTGTGCAAGTTAAAAACTGTAAGTACTCTATTCTTAAATGAAATTAAGGAGTAATTCATTTCTTATTTCAGTTTAAAGATTTTCTTGAACTGTACAATAAAATGACCGAAATGTGCTTTAAAAGGTGCGTCGACAATATGTACACAAGAAAATTAGATCAGGATGAAATTGCATGCGTGGACGATTGTTCGCAAAAGTTTATATACTTTAACAACAAACTTATGCAGAACTTTATCCAAGCTCAAACGGAAAAAGCAAATTTACGAGCGAAGGAAGCAGAAGAACAGCAAAAACTTGCTGAAGCTGAACAAAAACAGAACCAGCAGAAGGAAGTCTTAGATAAAGAAATGGCAGAGCCTGTAGGAAACCGAGAAATTACAGTTTCTAGTAGTTGATTGAAAAAACAATTTTTGTCTGACATTGAATACCGATAAAATCATTTATTATTCATCCCTTTCAGAAATGTTTTGTAGGAGAATTTGTCTTGTTTCTGTGTAACTGAACAGAAGTGAAGAGTTTGGGAAGATTTTGTACTGTAGAATAGTTTTTGTGGTGTATCTTGAGTAGAATATGAAATATAAATCTGTTATTGTTAGATGTATAGTTTGTTGAAATAAAAAAAATTAATTAGGAAATCAAAATATTATATGCAAGGTAACCTTATTTAAGACTTTCTCAAAATTCTAAAAACAAAAATGTTGTTCTTTTAATTACATAATAAATTGACAAGTGTATTCTCTAAAATTCAGCATACTAAAATATCATAGATGAATAAACAAACCCTGTATTTTGAATGTTAAACCAAAAAGTTTGATTAATCTTTAATGAATGTGATGAAGCTGAAAATTATTATAAACATTATAAAACAGAAAATTAATGTATAAACTTTGATTTTGAATTCTAGTTCCTTGGGAGGAACTAGTTCCTTAGTTCTAGTTCCTCCAGAGGAATAGTTCCTTGAACTAGGTCTTTAGTTCACAATAGTTCCCGACTAATATTGACATCCCCCTTGCTTGCTAATGCGTTTCGTTGTCAGTCAGAACTATTCACAGTATGTATGATCTATATAATTTTTATAATGTTCGGAGATATAACGAGACGTGTAATTGTGTATGTTAAAAACATATAGGTAAGTTTTATTGCAGATAAAAAAAAATAAAAAGACTCAAATCAGAATTTAAAAAACTATATCACAAATCAGTTGGGGCAAATATATTACAAAAATTTTACGAAAAATTGCGTTTTTCCTCACTTCAACCTTTTTGTTTTTGTCTAAAAATTCAGAATATCTACTTCGTTTTATAAGATATTTCTTAATCTTTGGGACCTAAAGTGAAACATTCCCATAAAATATTTAAAAAACAAACTAAAAATCAAAAACAGTATCCACGACAATTTTCTGTGGTAATTACGCCGCGCCGGCTGTGGCAATAGACAAGGCCGAATCCATCGTCATCGCCTTGTATTATATCTCGGATCTGCCGACTGAATAGATTCCCGTGAACTAGTCTTTTAATAGTTCCTCTATGTCCGGATCCGATAACATATGGCTGGCTCTCCCCACGCCTGCCTAGCATCAATCGCGCTGGCTGATCCATACGTAAACTAGTCTTTTATTTAGTTCCTCTAGCTCCTTTAGGTCCGGATCCGATAACATACGGCATACAGCTGGCACTCCCCACTCCTGTCTAGCATCAATCGCGCTGGCTCGATCCGTTCGTACGTAAACTAGTCTTTTATATGGTCTTTTATTTAGTTTAGTTCCTCTAGGTCCGGATCCGATAACGTACGGCTGGCACTGCCCACTCCTGCCTACCATTGGGCTACGCGCGCTAGCCGATCCGTCGACGTCGCATATTATTCTATATCGGTCACAGTCTCGATCCCGGAACAGGTCCTGAGGAACTAGTTCCTTTCATTCGGAATAGTTCATTGGAACTAGTTCGTTCACGAACTACATATTTCTAATTTGAAATAGTAAATTAAACACACCTCAATTTTTGATTCACCCCATATACAGTGTGGCACACCTCATTCACCTCGGTTAATTATACAAAAACCGAAAGATGTAGAAACAAAATATTTTATGGGTATATGTGGGAAGGCAACATGCATAATTTAAAATTATTTTGAAATGTACAGGGTGTGTCAGACTAACTAAGATTCATACCAAAGTAATATTTTTTCTTATGACACAGCCGGTATTTTATTTCATTTTTGGATCTTTGGACACAAAATAAGGCATTTATTATAAGGATTTAATATATTTAAAAGCTTTGGTTTTTGAGATATTTAAATATGCAGGCTATAACAAAAATGTGTCTCAACGCCCTGTACATTACCTTTCAGATTTAGTTCTTGTGCTTAAAGGTAGAAAAATAAACTTTACAATTTAACTGCTTCCTTAAATTTATACAGGGGTATCAATTTTTTTTAAAGAAGTTTTTATGTAAAATAAATATTTAAAATAGGTCAGCAATTTTTGGTACCCCTGTATACATTTAAGGATGCCAATCAACCTTTTCAGGAAAGTTTATTTCTTTACCTTTAAACTCAGCACAAAAATTAATTCTGAAAAGTAATGTACAGGGTTTTGATAATTTTTTCTATTACAGCATAAAAATTAAAATATCTCAAAAACCAAAGTTTTTAAATATATTTAACCCTTGTAATAAATACCGTTTTTGTAGGTCCAAGAACCCAAAAATGAAATAAAGTACAGGGTGTTCCGTCAGAAAAAATATAACTTTGGTATGGATCTTACTTCTGACAGACCCTGTACATTTCAAAATCATTTTAAATTATGCACATTGTCTCCACACATATACTCAAAAAAATATTGTTTCTATATCTTTCCGTCTTCGTATTATCAACCGAGGCGAATGAGGTGCGCCACCCTGTATACCGTGCAATGTACTGTAATTTAGTACAACTAGTTTTGAAAAGAACACTATTATAAATTACTCGCGTGTACCAGCGACTTCGTTCGCGTCGAATTAATCATTTGTAATGGTGATGATAAAGCAAAGCAAGAATTTCCATTAACATACAAATTGGATAAAATTTTCTCACATTTATGTCAGCATGAGAAAAAACAATATGGCGATATTATTATATAACTTGGTAATATTTGAGGGGTAGTTTCATCTCGTTGGAATTTGACTTTCGAAAAAATCCGTTTGCCAAAAATAAGCTTTTTACGTCAAGCAGTTTAATCAGAATCGTGGTTAAGAAATTACCCAACTTTTTGGAACACCCTGTATGATTTTTTAAAAAATTTCAAAATATGTAAAAAACCAAATCAATTATGCTTGTCCAAGCGTTTTCCCGAAAGACTAGCAATTTTTTAAATAACAAATATTGTAATATTTGAGGGGCGTTTTCACCCTGTTGGAATTTAAGATTCGAGAAACCCCTCCTTATCGAACCTCTACACCCCCACATCAATCCGTTTACCAAAAATCAGCTTTAAACGTCAAGCAGTTTAAGCAGAATCGTGATTACTCAATGGTTATATTTTATGTAACACCCTGTATAAATTTATAAAAAATCTTAAAATATGTAAAACAACAAAATAAAATATAGGTACTTGTTTAAGAGTTTTTCCGAAAAACTCACCGGTTTTCAAATAAAAAATATTTGAGGGATAGTTTCACCCCCTTTAGAATTCGAGTTTCGAAAAATCCCTTCTTATCGAACCTCTACACCCTAAAGTCAATCAGTTTTCCAAAAATCAGCTTTTTACGTCAAACGCTTTAAGCAGGATCATGATTAATCAATGACCAGATTTTTCGAAACACCCTGTATACATTTTTAAAAAATCTTAAAATATGTAAAAAGACAAAATAAAATATACGTGTTTAAGCGTTTTTTCGGAAACTTGACCGTTTTTAAATAAAAAATATGGTAATATATGAGGGGTGGTTTCACCCTCTTGGAACTGAAATTTCGAAAAATCCCTTTTTATCGAACCTCTACACCCTAGAATCAACATGTATGCCAAAATTGAGCTTCTTAGGTTGAGTGGTTTGAGCAGGATCGTGATTAAACAGTATGTCAGTCACTTAAGGATTTTATATATTAGTATAGATTTACACAATCAGGTATAATTATTGAAATAAAATTGTGAAGTTATGTCGAAACCAGTTAAACTTAAGTAACTGCATTGTTGTATAGTATATAGAACAATATAACCTGTTAAAATAATCAAGTTTTTATCTAGTTCCGGTATATTCGGAAGTGACGCCATTTTAAAAATATTTTAGCCCAAACGACCCCCACGAAAATACTTAAGCCCCAAATTGTCAGATTTTTCTTAAATCTACCTACCTTCCTCATTCCTGTATACAGATCTAGAAGAAACAATGAAAATATCAGCTTTATATGTAGAAACGTTTTATTTATAAATTTAAACTTTTTAAGTTAAATATTTAGTAAACAGTCTATTAAAAAATAAAGAATGAAACAAAGAAAATATAAAAAGTCATAAAAAAGGAATTTACTACAGGATACATCATACATATTTATATACAACATATTAACTCGAGTGTACTTCTTATAAACAAGGATTTCTAAACACGTGCCAATTAGAAAAAAGAATTAAAACAATTATTTTTGTTTAAACATTGTTCTATTTTATTACATGTTGCATATTTATATCTTCTTGTATATTCAATAATAGTATAGAAATATTAACAGTGAACATAGAAAACATGGGATGTTGAATAAAAACTGCATAATTATTATATTAATTTTTACAGGGTGTTCCAAAAAACATATGTTCCATTCTGTTTTGTTTCGTAGCTACAGGGGTTTAAAGTCTATATTTTTAGTATTAAAATATGTCGCACTTATAGTAACTTTTACTATAAAAGAACGTGGAAGAAAATTATAATTGTTGATATATAAAAAAAAATTATGTTTACTTCCGGAATCTCCCCACAAGAGATGACACGTTTTTTGAAACACCTTGTATGAAAGACTAAATTGGCATTTTCAATTTCTACTAAAATAAATATCCTGAAACCTTAAACTTACTATACAGTGTTTATAAAAAAAAACAGCGATAGACATAGAACAGATCGAGATAAAAAGTGTTATTTCTAAACCTATTATGACGTCTTTGTATTCCATGACATGGCAGATTGAAATAAGGGCTAGATTTTACAATTCCATCCTAACAAATTTTTAAAATTAATAATAAATACAATAACCTCTCAAATTGACTCATTTTTAACAATCAAGCTACTTTAAGACCTCTCTTTTAAGTAAACCATCACAAGATTTTTATTAAAAACTATGAACAATTATTCTACACCCAATAATTAGTACAGTAAAAAAATTCAATAAGTTTTAAAACAGGGAAACGCCAAAAAATAGTGCCTTTTAAAACGAA